ACAGTCTTCCACACGATCGTGACTTGTTCGCTTGGAGTTCGCGCCACTTTAGCGATGTTGGGGATGTTTGTTTTCACTGTAAGTGTAATGCGATACAGCAAATATCATCAATACACGATTAGCATTAACATACACGGCCACAGCTGTAGCAAATTTCAGTGACGCCAATCAATACACGTGGAGGGAAAACTGGCTGTGCAAATATCTTTGATGCCAATATGTTTGAAGAATTCTTTGATCCAGTCTTTGAAAAAAACGTACCACATGATGCGAGCCCTTCATTGGTCGTTTGAATCTGAAATGAACATGAAATGCCATAAGCTGGCATTAGAACGGACTGTAGGATAACGGTCAGGTTTATCCGTTGACAAAACAGAGTGATTATGGCTTTACGCCGCTTTTAGCAATATTCCAACAATAGGCCAAAAATGGGCTTCAAACATTGTACCCGTGATGGGAATCGAACACGGGTCTTCGGGGGTGACAAGCGAACACTTTAACCATTAGGCTACCCCACCACCCCCTAAATTTGGTTGCGAAACAGAGTTACTGGTGCCATTGAGGCAAGTGGGGTTATTAGGCGATACTGTTGATACTAGATTCTTGTATCGTTATTAGAAGCCAGTGTCGATGTTAGGTCATAAGTGTCAGGGGCGGTGGGGTAGCCTAGTGGTTAAAGCGTTCGCTCGTCACGCCGAAACCCCGGGTTGATTCCCCACATGGGTACAATGAATGAAGCCCATTATCGGTGTACCCCGCCGTGATATTGTTGGAATATTGCTAAAAGCGGCGTAAAACCACACTCGCTCACACACTCTTAGTTTCAGTGTAAGACATCCGGTGTCGATATAAGACTTTGGAGTTGATAATAGATCATAGCCTGATCCTAGTGTCGACATATAAGGCCATCGTATTGCTAGCGGGGCGGTGGGGTAGCCTAGTGGTTAAAGCGTGCGCTCGTCACGCAGAAGATAGGGGTTCGATTCCCCACATGGGCACAATATGTGAAGCCCATTTCTAGTGTCCCCCGGCGTGATATTGCTGGAATATTGCTAAAAGCTGCGTAAACCTAAACCACTCACTCGTATTGCTAACAGACAATAGCCCCGGAACGATAATGGAGAGTGGTCATAAAGTTATATTGAGTTAAGGGTCTCCTAACGACGTGTCACTGTACAGCTTATGTTGGATTGTGTCATTTGAACAGCATAGCGTTAAAACAACCATTATGCAATGCACAGATATAACTGTCAGGGGGCAGGAAATAAAACAACTACTTCAAATGGTTAACACTCAAAATGTACTTAAAGGGGAAGCGTGTCTTTCCAAATGCTAGCTATAGGCCATTCGAATCAGAATGCATGGTTTTCAAACACATTAGACACTTAATATCATAAATTAAGATGTTCCGCGTTGATGTTCAGACAGCTTCATTCTACACTCCCAGTTTGCAAGAACACTCTCTACCACATGATGAACACCGGCGATCGATCAAATCATATGACCACTCCATGAAGCATTGGTATCGTCTCCTCGTGGTTGCTTTGTACAATATTGTTGCAATCAATGCACCGCCAGCACACTGTGTGGAGCCTAGAACCCTAGAAGCATCTTTATACGTACACGTCCCCAGAGGGGGACCATCCATTGCACTGTCAGAATGTGTTTGTGTAGTCAGGCCATGAGTGATCACAGCTCCAGACAGGGTAAACAACGCCGACAGAGCGATTCCTCGGCAGATGAAAATTGTGTTACAATACGAAACTGTACAGAGTGTCAGAGTTTGTGAAAGATCTCGCTGTGTAGACAGATCGTGGTGGAGCGTTGGACACAAAGTGAGTGAGTTAGTGAGTGGGTTATGGATGGGTAGTTGGGTGATGGAACTGGTTAGTGAGTGCTGGTATTTTCCGCCTTGGTCACTGTGCGACTTGTATGCCTTAAGGGGGCGGTGCCGTAGTCAAACGGTTAAAGCGGTGGTCGTCACGCCAAAGGTTCGGGTTTGATTCCTTGGTTTGATGCAATGTGTACCGCCGCCAATCCTGCCGCATCCATCTGCAGCGATATGAATGCAGAATGAATTAGTGAGGTTCGATCCAACTATATCACGACACTGAACCTCAACCTGAACCTTCACGCATTCCAGAGATTCTGGTCAGTAGGTCCTAAATAATCCAATTTCACCATTCCATATATCTTCCTCAACAACCTGTGAAGATTGGGTTAGAATTGATCTTCAGTAGCCCATGCTTGTCGTAAGAGGCGACTAATAGGGTCTGGTTTTCGGGCTCGATGACGTGATTGACACATGTCATCGTATCCCAATTGCGTAGATCGAGGCTCATGCTGTTGATCACTGGATTGTCTGGTCCAGACTGTTGCCGTGTGCGGTGTAAAACTAAACTAACTCATCGCACCTCCTCAAAATGAAACCGTTTTTAAGATAACAGGTAATAATTACAGCATTTTAACTAATATATTATAGCGACTGCAAACATTTTTTATGTACATTTTACCTTTTTATACTTTAGACTGCTTATACTATCACAATATGTTGACATAGCAACTTTTGTTGGATTCATGAACCACGTTTGAAAGATGTCTGGCCTGAACAGTTCCCAGTACCATTAAACACGGTCATGTTGCCCAAAGCTAAGTAGAAGTATCTTTTACCACACAATGTGTCTCGGCAGGGTGCAACCACTGATTGCAGTGACGTGAAGCCAACAGCATCAGGAAGATGATTAAAGAATCAATAACTGCGATTCCTTCTCTTGCTGTACCATTATCAATATTTATTTATACGCGATTGTCTGAATGGGAACGGAACGGTCTTGCTGTCCAGTTGAAGGTTGCTCTTGATTTAATAGAATATTCATAATTCTCGTAATTCCTGCATTACCGATTCCGAGTATTGATATATCAATGTCATGCCATAACTCGCACCGATTCCACAATTTCTGTATTGTAGAAACCGCAATTTGGTATTCACTGCTTTAGTCGACTGGGGAGGCGAGAACATCATTATTGAAGAGACCTTTTTTGTTGAACTGACAATAACATAACAACAGGAGATATGACTTTCGAATTTGGTCTTTAAACATTCCCCTGACGTCAGGTGAAATTGCGATTGTTCTTTTTCGAGTTGCATGTGCGTAGCCTTCGTTAACTCGAACTCAACAAATAACCATGACTCCTTGCAGTATAACTATCAACTACAATGACGGTGCCCATCAGTCCGTAGGGTGACCTTTAGTCCAAGAAATAAAACTATTTCATAAAAATATGATTTTGAAAAATATATTTATCTACAAATCAAATCCAAATGGAGCCCATAACAGCCCTTAGGCTGTAGCTATATCTAGCTACCTAGATCATTCTAGACTTGAGCTGTACTCCTATTTCATTTTGTTATCTGTATGAGTGAGTGAGTTATTTTACGCCGCTTGTAGCAATATTCCAGCAATATCACCACGGGGGACAGCAGAAATGGGCTCAACATCTTGTACCCATGTGGGGAATCGAACCCGAGTCTTCGGTGTGACGAGCAAACGCTTTAACCACTGGGCTACTCCACCGCCCCTTTTGTTCTCTGGGGTCTGGTGGACGGATTAATCAGTCCGATTAAAAGAGGTATCTCATTACAATGTCATTTCTTTGCAAGGCAATATTAAAAACAAATGTTCATTGTCGACACATTTTAAAGAGTCTCAAACGCAGTCCCAGTCAGACTATTCCAGCTTGGGCCTTTGCAGTACCGTCATAGGTCCAACGGTGGGATTTCAAAATGGCGGAGTTTGTCAGACATGTCGAGTTTGGATTAAACTGCACGTCAGTTTCTTGGGAGTTGTAGTGAATGTCGTGACAGCGGCAACATTGACAGCGTAACTATCACCCTTTGATGTCATGGTATTACGTAAACATGCATGCATAGTGATCTATTGATGTGACATAACGTTAAGAGGTTCAGATATCATGTCGATTAGAAATGACATTTGACTGGGCCAATCTCAACATGTCTTCCCCACAAACATGAACATATTGAGTGTTTATAAACTCATTTGCGTAACTGAAAGGAAAATGACAAAGCCGGTGTGTTAACTCCAGTAAGATATGTTTCTATTTCGGTTTGCAATAGACATGGTTACATGTGACGAGATTTAGAAAAATACTCCAGATTTAGTCATAATTACAGCGTGTGCTTTGTTTGTTATGTTTGGCCTTTCTTGCGGCAGTTGTTGGCAGATTAATTCAAGCAATCGCATCTATAGGATAATTATCCTGTTTTGAAACATCCAACCTTCACAAAAGAAAAAGGTTGTAATTTAGGATAATGTCTTTGTTGATTTGTTGTTTTGTACACTGATTGCTGTAGTTCCTAATGCACCAATGACGTCACGAGGAGTATATCCATATGGATTTGATGAATTTACAGAAGACGTCAACACGTTTTGCAAATGGTGCACTGTATTTTAAAGAGGATTTTGCTCGAATAAAATATGGCTGCACGATCATTTGAATTAAGTGATGGCAAGAACAAATATAACTGGGAAGCGATTCGATTCGCCATGTCGATCTGCGTCCGCAAATCGTGATGCAAGAATCATTTGGAATAGTACGAACCAATGTCTCCACAACTATATCTGGATTCCTGGGATTCACTAAAGTGGTGAGACATGCGTGGAATAAACGGACACGCCGGACTTGGCGTGATGAGGGAATGCTTGAACCCTATCGCCCCTCCTAGTTAGAGACTGACTGACTGAGTTTGGTTTTACGCCGCTTTTAGCAATATTCCAGCAACATCACGACACCAAAAATGGGCTTCACACATTGTGCCCATGTGGGGATTCGAACCCGGGTCTTCGGCGTGACGAGCCAACGCTTTAACCATTAGACTACCCCCACCGCCCCTCCTAGTTAAAGAAGCAGGATCATATGGAAAATAGGTTTCTTTCGACTCATGGATGCATTTATAATGTACATTTTTCTCTCCTTTTCAGTCAAATCCCGCAGCCCTAAACGAAAGTGCCAGACCAAACGAAGCGTGTCCTACCCACCGATGTTCCCCACTATAATTGAGAAGGTTGAGGAGGAGGAGAAAGAGGGCAAGGAGACAGCCCGCTCTCCCCCATCACCCCTCACACAGTTGTATGATGGACTCACCCTTCAGACGCGGCACACGTGGCCCAAGTTTCTTGGAGACTGGGCTTACGCCGACAATGCGCATCGCAATGGAGGTGCGTATCTTACGTTCGTGAGCATGGTTTTCTCTTGTTCCTTAACATTGTTGTGAGATTGTTGGGATTTAAGTAATTTTCGAATTGTTACTTTATGGTTTTTTTACGGAGAAACTACGACAATCGAAATGTCGAACTTTTAGAAGAGGAACAGAAGTATTTCCGTCAACAAATGTTTAAATAGTGACAACAACTTTCTTATGACATTTTCAAGCTTCTACATTTTCAACCGTAGCACTTTGAAATATTTGAACTGTTTTGAACTTCAAAGCATATTTAAAACGCAGCTATATCAAATTTCCCTCCTCTCGTTGAAATGTTCATGTACTCTGATCAACATCGCTAGGGCCTTTGGGAAAGTGGCAAATGTTTGTTAAAATGAAACGAAAGATGAGCCCATAAAAAGTGGAAGTAACAGAATCGTCAACCTAGAGCCACTGTGAGGATTGCTGGTATTTCGAAAGCAATTAATGTTATAAAGTGGAATGTCGTTAGCTCAAAGGCACATTGACAAAGTGTCGGGTTATCAGAAGTTCGAATACCGATAGTAGATGAAGCCCAGGTGAAGGTCATATGGATAGTGTCTCCCTGTAAGTTTAAGCTTCGCCGATGGCTACCTTTAAGCGGAATGTAGAGTTAATTATTCCTTGTTTACCAAGTATTGATGTATATTTATGTACATAGGAACATAAGACGTACAATCTACAACTTATTGCGTTTGGAATGAGAACAAATATATATACTGATAATGTTTTGATCTATTATTATTGTTAGCTAATTTTTAAATTTACATATATAAATGTATAGTATTAAAAATACTCTTAGCTTTAAACACTTTAGACAATATGTACATAATAGGTATCTAATTGAAAAGAATAAAAGCAAAGAAGATAAGTTTTATGAAAAGTGGATGTCATACCATGATTTTGCCAATTCTAAGTGATCTTTTTGATTCCTTCTTCTTGTAATCATGTAATTAGTCTTGATAATGTTGAACCCCCAAAATGTATTGTAAATGTGTGAATATTCTATGAATGTTTGGTGAATGAATGTGCTGTAGTGTGTTGTAGCGTGTTTCGTTTTTTAGAACAAATTACTGTATTCCACTTTTCAAACTCTCCTCCATAACGATTTTGTATAAGACTTTACAGTCCCCTGGCTGTATCGTCTTATTTGCAACAGGGCGTCAGGAAATTAAAAAAATAAATTAAAATAGATAATACGTACATGTAGCTCCACATAATTATAATGATATCGTGTATATGATTATTTATTACCCTAAACAGTGTAATTAGGAACGGTCTTCAAATCTGGGATATAAACATATACTGGTTGTTTTAATCGTGTTACTGTGGAACTGTTGTATATATTTCTTCACTCCTACGCCCATGCACCGTTTGGTTTTACTGTGAAATCTTTGCTTTTTTAAATGGTCTTTTTTTGTTGAATTCTGGGTTTTTTTATTGTGTGGCCTTGTCTTCTCATGTTCTCTCCTGTCTATGTTTGATCTTCACTCACCTTGACCTTTCAGGGTGCGTGGTACCAATTCAGTGCTCATTTTAAATATTTGTAAGTTGTTTAGTTTCGAGCCATTTGCTTTAGTTTGCTGACTTGCATAATGCCATGTGCAGCACACATAGTGAGTGAGAAACCCTTGAACTACACCGCATAGTGCGCATTTGCTTGGGTGTAGTGTAACCAGTTTAAGCACTATGCAACATATGTGCAAAATATGCTCTTGGTAAATAACAGCTGTTCATTCAATTTGATATTATTATTCGGTCGTTTGTATTTTATTGATAAATAAAAGGCAAAACACAGTACAATATCTTTCAGTAAAAGGTTAAATAAGTATCATATGTGAAATATGCACAGTACTGGAATACAATATTGGATTTTCTTATACGGAATTATATCACCAAGTATATTATATTATTGTTAAAAATGTATAGTTAACATGCAGTAAATTGTATGGAAAGATTTCAGTATCATTCCGATACAAACCGAGAATGCGTGTGTTTCTGTACACTTCTGCAATGAATTCAAATTTTCGATTTTTATGCATAAATAGTTTGTAGGCTTGATTGATTTTTCAGTGAAATGGCATATTTCATTTTGTATTACGCCGGGCACTGTGTTTGTATAATAAATGCACCAATAGATGGAGGCTTTCTCTGACAAGAGCATGGAATCATACCATTTTTCATTTTCCTCTATACCACTCAACTTTGACTAGGATAATCAGCAAAATGTGACATATATTTACACATACACTTGAGATTATGAGAACCAAGTTATTTTATCATAGAAAGATAATAAATATATCCATCAAAGGTGAGTTAAAGTATTTACTTAACCATTGAGCCTGACACGCGGACGGTTAGTCAGCCGTTGGAATGGGATTATGCAAGTCATCCAGAAACTAATGATTAGGAACAGTCAATGTTGTCTCATTTATGTTGCTATGCAACAGATCGAAGGCGGGCTTATTAATTTCATTGGCTTTTTCCCTTTCTGTAATTCTGTTACTTTATTTGCCGTTGTTCTTGCATGGTAGATGATGTTTCAATTGTCATAATTGCATACGTAGTATTTCGGTTTTCTTCATCCTGGGACCTTGAAGTTCACTAACAATGTGTTTCTTTAAACTGGTGCAAGTAGTTGTACGCCGACTGTATATCGGTACCAGCACCAGACTCGGTTGTCCGTTCTTGCTGGTTTTAGTAGTAGTAAAGTGGTTGGGTATTATGAGGGTCGTATTGGGTTATGTAATATCCTCGGTATGGTGTTGGAGTAGTATTGGTTCTGGTGGTATGGGGTTGGGTAATATATGCTAGTGAGGTGATATGGGTTTGGGCAATATGCTTGTTATGTAGTATGGGGTTGGGTATCATGCTTGTTATGTAGTATGGGGTTGGATACCATGCTTGTTATGTAGTATGGGGTTGGGTATCATGCTTGTTATGTAGTATGGGGTTGGGTATCATGCTTGTTATGTAAGTATGGGGTTGGGTATCATGCTTGTTATGTAGTATGGGGTTGGGTATCATGCTTGTTATGTAGTATGGGGTTGGGTATCATGCTTGTTATATCATCATGCTTGTTATGTAGTATGGGGTTGGGTATCATGCTTGTTATGTAGTATGGGGTTGGGTATCATGCTTGTTATGTAGTATGGGGTTGGGTATCATGCGTGTTATGTAGTATGGGGTTGGGTATCATGCTTGTTATGTAGTATGGGGTTGGGTATCATGCGTGTTATGTAGTATGGGGTTGGGTATCATGCTTGTTATGTAGTATGGGGTTGGGTATCATGCTTGTTATGTAGTATGGGGTTGGGTATCATGCTTGTTATTTAGTATGGGGTTGGGTATCATGCTTGTTATGTAGTATAGGGTTGGATATCATGCTTGTTATGAAGTATGAACACAGACCACAGATCACAGAACACAGACAGACACAACTGAGGACCAGAAAGACACAGACCAAGGAACAGAATCACAGACACAGGAAGGAACAGACCACACATAATCACACACATGAATCACAGAATCATGAGACACATGACACAGAAGGAAATAGACAGAGAGACAGAATCACAAGGAAGGAAGACACAGACAGACAGAAAGACAATCAGAACACACGAACATGTAGTATAATAAGACCACACAGAATCAGAAAAGAAAATAATCAACAGGAAGGACCACAAACAGACAGAATCAGAACAGGCATGGAAGACAGACATGGAAGCACACAGACACATGGACAGACCACACAGAAGCACAGACAGGCATGGAATCACACATGGACAGAATATGGACAGACAGAATCACAGAATGAAGAGAACACATGGACACAGACACAGAATCACATGTAGCATGGACAGAATCACAGACACATGGAGACAGAATCACAGCATGACCACATGGACAGAATCACATGACCACACAGTGAACACAGTAGTATGGAGACACAATCACAAACATGCATGGAATAATCAGAAAATATAGTATGACCACAGACACAGACAGAATCACACAGTATGAAAGACAGACAGAATCACAGACACAGAATCATGAAGAAGTATGGAGACCAGACAGAACACACAGAATCATGAAAGAATAATCATGAAAATATGTAGTATGGATCATGAAAAGGAATATGGACATGACCAGAATCACGAGACCACATGCACACAGAATCACACAGACACAGACCACCCAGCACAATCACAGAACATGTAGCATGAGACCACAGCATGGACAGAATCACACATGGGACAGACCAGCCCAGTAGCATGGACACACATGCATGGACAGAATCACATGTAGCATGGAATCACACATGGAAAATCACCACAAGGAAGGACATGGACAGAATCACACATAGCATGGCTGGACAACCACACAGGACCACAGGAATGTGCTAGTTGGGTAATATGCTTGTTAGGTAGTGTGTGATGGGTGGGTAATATGCTAGTTGGGTAATATGCTTGTTAGGTAGTGTGTGATGGGTGGGTAATGTGCTAGTTGGGTAATATGCTTGTTAGGTAGTGTGTGATGGGTGGGTAATGTGCTAGTTGGGTAATATGCTTGTTAGGTAATATGCTTGTTAGGTAGTGTGTGATGGGTGGGTAATGCTAGTTGGGTAATATGATGTTAGGTGTTAGTAGGTAGTGTGTGATGGGTGGGTAATATGCTAGTTAGGTAATATGCTTGTTAGGTAGTGTGTGATGGGTGGGTAATGTGCTAGTTGGGTAATATGCTTGTTAGGTAGTGTGTGATGGGTGGGTAATATGCTAGTTGGGTAATATGCTTGTTAGGTAGTGTGTGATGGGCGGGTAATGTGCTAGTTGGGTAATATGCTTGTTAGGTAGTGTGTGATGGGTGGGTAATATGCTAGTTAGGGTAATATGCTTGTTAGGTAGCGTGGGATTGGGTAATATGCTTGTTAGGTAGCGTGGGATTGGGTAATATGCTTTAGGTAGGATGGGGTTAGGGTCAACATGATGTTACGTTTTACTTGTAGTAAAACTTTTCTTGCTATTATGAGACTATCGTGAAGCTAGTCCAGGTCATTCCTCGTACTGATGCACCGCTGTACTCGTATGAAAGTCAGCAGATCTACTATTGTGACCACCGTAGTTGTCCATTTTCACCTAGAGTGAGTCAGTGGACACTGGGAGACATTTTGGGACAGTTATCAAGTGTGGATGTACTCATCTCAAGCGTCCTCACGCCAGTCACTGTTATTTTCTTGACAACGGGTTATGCGATGTTTAATGCTTTCAATGTTGTATGAAAATGTTCTATTCTAATTTATTCTAACCTTTTTTTCTTAAATCTATCACCCTCGAAGTCATTCTTTTGTCCATAGAGAACACTTTCCTCACAGTGACCAGTGACTAGGATCTGAAGTTACCGAATCATTTCATCAATTCGATTATATTTCTTAGTTACCACTGCTGCGGAACAAGCTCGACATTGTTATCGTCAGATGTCATATACTGTTACGACATTTCCCAACTAATCATCGTTATGACTAATCATATACAGACAATCTGCTCTATTGTTTATAGTTTATATGAGGGGAACATCTGTTTCATACTTTTTATCGTCCATTCGAGGTCAATGAATGTTTAAAATTTTCTTATGAGCTGTAGTTATGACATGACCGTCCTGTTTATTGTGATTTATCCTTTATGCGCGGTCATCTTGTGACAATTACGATTTATCCTTTATGCAAGAGCATCATTAGCTTATTTCGAGTTGTCATGTGTACTCGGTTACTTTGTGTTTCTTACGATGTTCATACATGGTGTTTATTTCGATTTATTGTTTCTGCAAAGTCATCATGTGTATATTGCAATGTTCCTACATGGCTGCCATGCGTTTTGTTGGTTGGCTGGTTGGTTTGTTGTTTTACGCCGCACTCATGAGTATTCCAGTTGTATGGCGTCGGTATGTAAATGATCGAGTCTGGACCAGACAATCCTATGATCAACAGCATGAGTATCGCTCATGAGCAACAACATGGAATACGATGACACGTGTCAACCAAGACAGCGAGCCAGACCTCCCGATTCGCTTTGTACGACACGCATGGGTTGCTGAAGACCAGGGCCCCGTTCCTCAAAGCGATCGTAGCGCTAAGATGATCGTGACTCCCATACTTTAACATAGACTTACGACAGTCGTAGCGCTACAATCGCTTTGAGGAACAGGGCCCAGTTCTAACTCGGCTCTTCACGGGTCACTATATGTTTAATACCATTTACCGTTCGTGCATATGCAGCACGTGTCTATTACGATTCCCAGTTCATACGTGGTGACCTTGTGTCTATTACTAATTATAGTTTAAACGAGGCCGCCATTTGTTTATTACTGTTTACCTTAATACTAATTCAACCTGTGTTTGTTACCATTTATCGTTTACAAAAAGGCCACCATTTGTATATTTAAACCTGTGTCTATTACTATTTATCTTTATACAAGGCCACCTTGTGTGTATTACGACTCCATTCAAGGCCGCCTTTCATATATTACGATTTATCGTTATGCAGCCTCAATATGTCTGTTATCATTTATCGTATATACAAGCCCCAAGTTTAAAAAAATGTAGCTACGATTTATCGTCCTTGCACAAAACATCTAATTACTGTAGTTGCAACTTAACTATTTGAAATGAATGTTGTGTCATCATCCTGATTGATGCCTCGACGTTGCCATGGCTAACCTGACACTGATGTGTTGCAAGATGTGTTTCCGTTGCAGATAATTATAAGGAAGAAGAGCACACGGATCTCTCCCAAATATAACATCTGGCTACTTTCAGCTTTGCTCGATCTATTATTATTCTAATGTTTTATTGATTTTGTTTTAGACATAACGTTATGAAAACGCGCTTCTGTTTTTTAGTTCTGCATAGTTTGCTTTTTAAACTTGTTTCGGGAACGGAACATTTCGAAGGCTTGTTTTTTTATTTGTTTATAGATACCGAGCGTTTGATAATGAGCTTTCCCAATCGTTAACCAGTAGAAAAAGGCCTGCTCTACTGACATGTATTTTTACAAACTGCAAACTGAAGAATTGCTGTAGTAATTAAATTTATCTCAAGTCTATTGTGTATACATTGACAGTAATCATCCACAGCTAAATATTTACTGTTTTGTTAAACAGCCCCAATCGTGGATACAAAAATTCAGCCCGTGATAATACTTTCGACATCAATGTTGAAATTGAATATTACAAGATTCAAGAATATGCTTTTTAAGGCATTTTCAATCTGAACACGAGAGCTTTTGCTATTTAAAGGATTTTGTGTCTAGGATCGCATGTTGATTCGATAATAAATTTATTTTTGTTCTGCTTGCAGGGTCTTTTGGAAGCGAATCCGACTCCGAGGTCGGTGACGGTCATTCGCTTGAAAGCATAGAACATGACGACGACGTCTTCTCAGAGGAGAGCAGTGAAAAATCAAGTGAAGACGGACCGGGTAGTGCTTCGTTTTACGTTAGTAGTGAAGAGGCTTCACCGGAATCTCCCGAGTGTTTAATTAGGGATCTGAGTGGGGACAGCACTAAGGTTTCCGGGGAAACTAAACTTGAAAACATTGTTGTTAAAATGAACCTAACAACAACGAGCCTAAGGTTGCTAAACGAGATATGCATTTGCCCCTAACAAATGGACTTGTTTCTAATACAACGGCGCCGCTTTCAGAGTCAAGGGCAAAGGAAGCCAAAAAGTCAGACTCCAAAGTTTCTTCAAAGAAAAAAGATAAGGACTCTAGTGCCAAAAAGAGTGACGAAAAGAAGAAGGGTGAGAGAGCAAAAGAATCTAAAAAGAACGATGAAGATAAATCAGACAATTCTTTGAAAAAATTGGATTCAAAAGAAAAAACCGTGAAGAAATCCGACTCGAAAGAGAAAGTTGTGAAGAAAGAAAATACGGGTGTTAAGAAAACGGATCAGAAAGATGAATCCAAAATTAAAACAAAACGAAAGACGCCACAAAATCGTCAAAGGAAGGCACTAAAGTCTCCTCGGAAAAGAAATCTGTGAAAAAATCGGATATCAAAGACAAAAAGATAGGTTCCCCTAAAAAGAAGTCAGAAAGCAAAGAAAAGAAAACGAAAGCAGATTATATCACAAATCCAGACCCTCCCATATTGGGGGGAAGTCGCCCGCTCGTTTTGACAAATTTGAGCAGCAAAATTGCGGCCTGCGCATGCACGAACGGAAGTGATGAGGACAGCCAATCACTAGATGGCGGTGATGTATATACTAAAGCTAGTATCCAACCAGAGCAGAGCAAGCAGTGCAAGGATATTAGTGACGAGGTAGTGCGTTACCACGGCAACAAGGAACTTGCAATAGCACGACCGCCTGTTCCGGACGTTCCGTTTGGGCGGTTTTTCGAAGAATTTATATTCGTGGTGTGCTTGTTTACATTTCTGGCGCTATGCATCGGAATACCATCAGAAACCTTCGTACTAGTCGTCCTAGGGATGCACTTCTTCTACTCAATGGTTACCATTCTTGGACTGTGTTGAATACTAGATCAAGATTTGTGTTTGAAACTACATAGTGCAAACAGTCGATCTATACCTTTCAAAGTGTCTGTGTGGTGTTTGTACATAAAGAAATCAAGAAGATGGGTGTAAGCACATCTCCCCGTCATACTCCACCATCTGTGAACACGTGTCATAATAAATAACATCACTATCATATCAGAAGACTTTGCTAGCACAACCTTTAGTGAAGCTGCAATCGCACCAGAAAATCCTCAATGAGGGTCAGGTATTTTTGTAGACAGGCCCTGATCAGTGATTACGGACTTTATTTTGTAGATTTTGGCACAGGTAACGCTGAGTACGACTGTTCTTCCTTTATTCAATAATGACACAAATATAAATAGCTGACACTTTCCGTCGGTTATTGCTTTCAAACTACCTCCAACTAACTTCCTTGCGTTGTACGTACTCTAGGAAAACAGTTTCGATGGGCTTAACCAGGGAGACTATATAATGTTGTAGATTATCCCTGGCTTAACGCAAACACGAAAGCCCGCACTTGTACATAATAACACTGCCTCAACATATTTTAATTCAACACAATGATTTATTGGTTACTGTGATGGTTATCGTTGATTACACAATTCTGAATATGCAGAACACAGTCTTAGGTGCAGAGTCTATTCACTAAACTGTCAGTGAAGTGGTCGTAGATATGTGTTCTGTGAATAAGCCGTTTACGCAATGCCTCTCGTGTACGGGTGCACAGAGTCATTCTGACGTCAAATAAAACGAAACGTCAGGTAAAATAAGAACTGGATGTGACAACAATTTGATAAAAAAAAACTAAGGACAAAACAATGTTCAGCTACAACGATTCTAGATCAAGCAAATGTAAGTCACTTTTGTACTTCACTGGTAAATGAAACATTGACATTTGGTGGTCATACTTAGTTTATATGTTTGATGTCCGTTATTGACGGAATTATAATATTCAAATTTCATTGGGATTAGGCAACTGTAATGCAGATGATAACCGACTGTGATACCTTGAGTAACGGCGTATTCAGTGTATTTGTGTGAACCAATCATGGCAACTGTGAAAGACAAATGTATACTGAATGTTTGGGACATGTGTCAACCATGGCATGTTTGGGTTCCCAATCACAGCCTAAGGCCAAAAGCACATTCTTGTGTTTCAGGTAAAGACAAATGTATACTGAATGTTTGGGACATGTGTCAACCATGGCATGTGGGGTCCTCTGTTCCCTTTACACATCGTTCCCAATCACAGCCTAAGGCCAAAAGCACATTCTTGTGTTTCAGGTAAAGACAAATGTATACTGAATGTTTGGGACATGTGTCAACCATGGCATGTGGGGTCCTCTGTTCCCTTTACACATCGTTCCCAATCACAGCCTAAGGCCAAAAGCACATTCTTGTGTTTCAGGTAATGATTTCAAAAATATGTGATTAAATATTCGGAAGATCAGTTAAAAACGTTAAACAAACGTCTTGATCGGTTTTCTAGATTTGTTACTTATGTGATAAAATATATTCAAGTGACAATACGTCACCAGGAATATAAGTAATGTGTTTCTGTCTACCTAGTATTTACAGTGTCATCCCGAACAGTAAGGAGAAACTTTATGTTAAATGCAGTGTTATACGTCCTGTTCATCATAGTTCCACATGGTTAATAAATTTGAATGTTTACACTGTTACTCGACATTTACACCTGCATTTAGCATTCATTTCCCAAAAATGACTGTTTAGATATAAGTGTCTGCATTAACGTATGAATCGTACGATATTTTTAAATTCAGTGAAAATGAACAATTCTAGAAACTAATAGTGATGATTATTTATATTATTTATATAAATATATATATTATTATAATTCATTTGTGGGTAATAAGGGTTCTCATATTTTCATGCAATAAAGTCAAAACACTGTTTGATATTATTTTCGTCTTAGAATTAAACACATTATACATTTTTATTTCATGGTTTACGGATATAGCCTATTAGTTTCGGTTGACGGAAATAGAAACAGGGTTGTGTAGATCATTAAACCAGGCTTTCCATGGGGCGTTTTGGTTGTTGTCGAAGAAGAAATGAATTTAGTGTTGTAGGATTATTTAATGTTAATGTTTGAATGCAGGCTATTTATTGGGATAACAGTAATATGCATGTTCCTGTTCAGTCAAAGAATGAGTTAGGGCATTTAGTGTAATACCGCTAAGGAAATCAGTCCAAGACGTTCTCATTAGTGGATTCGAGTTGTCAAATGCTATATACAAATGTATCCTATCAAAAATTATAAAACAGATAACAGTTACTTTTTCGTCAATGATAAATCGATTTCTGGTCAAAATATTGTTAATCATTATTGTAGCTTTGTTTCAAATCCGTAAACCGGAAAATAAAAACAGCCTCGCCTTAAAGAAAAGTTCAAAAGGCAGCTAATCTTCTAATTTTCACTTGTTTGCTATTTGCACCGTCAGTTTGTATAACTGTACTATCAGCTAGTAAACAGGCATTACGTATCCCCAGAATAATTATTTGTTACGGTGTCACATTTAGCGTTGTTGATATATTTATTTACTTTGTTCTGTATATTTGTATATTTCACTGTGTGAAAAGGTGCAGCTATACACTCACTGGAATACTGTTGTTTAGTTGGTAAAACTAATAACATGGTACTTATCGATTGTCCGGTATTCGTTCGCATAGCATTATCATGGTAGGCCCAATTGCCACATCGTCAACAGGACTATTTTAGGAAATTAGAAATATTTTGAATATTCTGACAATGTTTCAAACAAGGAATATTAAGAAGTTAGAAAACTGATATTTTGAATGACATTGTATGTTGCAATTTGTACATGTATTTGAATATTATTGACATCACAAATCACGCATCTTGAATTCCTATTCAAAATGTGTTGCAAATGTCGTGAAAAGAAGTGTTTTTAAACTGTTTCAGGTACATGTGATGAAACAAAAATGCATTTGTTGCGTTTCTTTTTGTCGTCAGTATATACAACATTGTAGCATATGGTGTGGAGTAAAGGGTGGTGTGTTGTACATACTGCAAATATAGACTGATAAGTAGTTGTGCCGTCGGGTGGAAAACAGTATCCGAACTGCCAAAATGTACAACAGTTGTACATTTTGTTTCACCGTTGAAATTAACACTGTTCGTTTTTTAAATATAAATTTATTTGTTGACGAGGTCAACGTAATACTAATCCTTATTGTACAGAGAGAGATAAAACAAGCTATTAAAACTCGAAAATACCAACTCTGTCTCAATTGTTATTATTTCATCACATTTACTGAACATGGCCCACAAGGATCTAATAAAGCCCGAGTGAACCATCCTCGTTTATGCAGGGTAAGTTTTTCCATTACATTAGGATAAACACCCTTGTTTCACCACCAAAGCTTTGTTTCGAGAGTGCCATCGCCATCTCGCGTGACTTCACACTACCATTCTCTCTCACACGAGAGTTATTTGGCTGGACAAATAGTTTTCGTCGGGTCAGTCGAACTGGTCTCAAAACAATGTTTCACAAGTGGCAGAGTTCAGGCGGTTAATCATAAAAAGGGGAGATAATTAAATATGTATTGGGAAGCGTGGAATCTGTTTGTCTTGGTATCCCAAGGGAAAAGTATAGTATAACCAGAAATTATTGAGAATTTTAGGAATATGTTTAATTGGATTTCTAGTACAAACAACTTTGACCAGCTATCAAGTGCTTGGTTTCATTCAAGAGAGACAACTCCGTTAATCCTTTTTCATTAGTTTGTGAAGAGTTATCCCCCTTTGTTTACTTGCTAGCAGACGACATTTTCAGTGATCCTCAGTATGGATGATTTAGAGAATAGGAAGTTGATTTTAGAGTATTATAACAAGGACATCAGATCAGCTAAAGTGATTTCAAGTAGAACAGGCATTTCTTTGTCCACTGTTTATCGTGTTTTGATAAAATATTGCAAATGGATATGGCATTGAGCACCAGGGAGGCGCAGGTAGGCCCAGAAAATTGACTGTCGGTGACAGGAGGCGGCTTGGTATTCTTGTTTCTAAAAATAAACGAAGGAGTTTAGAAAACTTAGGGCTGGATATGATTGATAGAGGAACTGTGGCTGTCTGTAAGGAGACAATTAGAACTGAGCTGCATGCAATGGCCATGGGTTGGCAGAAAAATCGAGGAATTCCATCACGGATCATGAAACCTGAACAAAAAGAGCGAATGTTGAACTGGTGTTTACAGCATAGAAATTTTAACTGGGGCAATGTGATTTTGTCAGATGAAAGTTCTGTATGGCTGTTTCCTAATACACTGAACTTCTGGACCAAACAAACTGAAAAACCTTTGTATCAGCGCCCAAAGTACAGTCCGAAATTTAACGTGCGGGGTGGCATATCTGTGTTAGGGGCAACGCCCCTCTGTGTATTTGAAGGGAATATGAACAGTGAGCGGTACACAGATATTCTCGAGGGACATTTACTTCCATCTGCTCACGTGTTCTAAGGAAATGTTTGGATTTTCCAGCAGGACAACGACCCAAAACATCGTTCAAAGCATTCACAGGCCTGGTTTCGGACCCAAAATATGACATTATTAGATTGGCCAAGCTATAGCCCTGACCTAAATCCAATAGAAAATGTTTGGGGACTTATGAAGTAAAGCGTCAATAAGAAAAATCTGACAAATATTGCTGAAATGAAAGAAGAGGTGGTTCGATATTGGGACAGCATGGACCACGACTTTCTAACTTCTTTGATCAGTAGTATGCCCCGCCGCATTGAAGCCTGCATTGCTGCCCATGGTGACTTGACAAAATACTAACTGTTCACCTGTCTTTGAATCTGCAGTTATGTTCTTCTAATATTCACATTTAATACGTGAGTAATGAGTGAATTTTCTTTTTAAAAATACAATCTTTAAATTCTCAATAATTTCTGGTTGTACTGTACTGAAAGTTAACATACGGCATAGCTACTTCCTAGGAGATTTATGGGCGCTTTATCACACAACTGTATTTTGTAAAAGTCAGTGTTACTCAGAAATGTCAAATATATTATGCACAGAAAACAATGAAATATTGACATGTAATGTATTAGATGCATTCGGATTGCTGACAGCTTAAGCTGTTGTTTTGTACGTTCAAGTTTTGATTCTTGCCATGTGTTTAAACGTGCTAAAATGAGGTTAATAGGTCCAGAAGTCTACGTATGAGCACATTTGTCACATTTGTTGAGGAGTATTCAAATTAGGTTTGTCAACATGTTTCAGGTGAATCGTGTGGGTCATAGCTTTACTCATATGCAAGATTAATTACTGAAAGCCCCTCTTCAACAAAAATAGCCGTATCTATACTAGTTTTAGGATTAACGTGCAATGGGTAAAGTGAAAAATGGTTGGTTCTCATTCATAATTATGAACACGGTTGGTAACTTTCAGAATATTTCAAGAATTATATGGATTTTGTTGACCATATGTAGCTTCTACTTTTTAGCCATCGCCATTTTTATGCACATCTAGTCACATTGCCACGCCCCTAACACTGCACTATATGAAGTGAAAGAGTGAGTGATTTGTTCGGCGCCTGAAACAGCGTCGTGTGATCATTTCCCCTCCCGTTACAACAATAAATGGATAAGTGACATGATGATCGTGATACATGTATATCAAATCTATGACAAACAAACATTTGGAGGGGACTTGTCCCAGATTAATGTGACTCAGTCCGATGTGCGGACCTAACATGTTTCAGTCAATTCATTCCACTCTGCAAACTCAAATGTTATAAGATGTACGAAAATGTGTTTGTGTTCACGTCAATCTCAGCAGCATTCCAGCTACATGACGTCACTCCGTAAATAACAGAGTCTGTACCATCGACTCCTGTGATGTACATCGATGCATTACAATATAATGCGAGTGAGTGTGGTTTTACGCCGCTTTTAGCAATATTCCATCAATACCACGGCAGGGGACACCAGAAATGGGCTTCACACATTGTACCCATGTGGGGAATCGAATCCAGGTCTTCGGCGTGACGAGCGAACGCTTTAACCACTAGGCTACCCACCGCCCCACAATCGGATACGATGGCACATATCACCAAAATCAGTGAGCAATTCCACCCGCTATCATTAGTCGCTTCCTACAACAAGCATGGCTTGCAAAATGCTAATTCTAACCCGGATCTGCACATCAGACAATCGTGGTTTGCTGATGACTAAATCAGAGTCTTAACGCACACAATTGTTGGTTGCTTCAGACCAAATTTAGCCCGGATCTTCACACAGACATGCATAGTTTGCTGTTGACCAAGTCTAATCTGGATCTTCATGGCCGACAAGAATTGTTTGCTGATTACCACATCTAACCCGAGTCTTCACGCAGAAAGGTTTGGTTGAACCTGGATCTAACCTGGATATTCATGGCCGACAAAAATTGTTTGCTGAACACCAAATCTAACAGTGATCTTCACATCAGACAAGCGTGATTTCCTGCAGACCAAACCTAACCCGGGTCTTCACGCAGACAACCATTTGTTGCTGATGACCAAATTTAACCCGGATCTTCGCGACTAACAGGCATAGTTTCCTGATGGCCAAATCTAACCCGGATCTTCAAACAGACAAGCATGGTTTGATGATGACCAAATCTAACCCATGTGTTAACGCAGACAATCATTAGTGGCTGCAGACCAAATCTAACCCATCAGGTGACGAGAACCCTAATTACAAAACAAAGTTACCTCAACACTAAACACAGAGTCTCAAACTAGACAGCCCTGGACACCAAATCGTCAGGCAGATTTTGGGCCCCTTTTAACCTTTAACCAAACCGGTCATGAAATTTGGTCTGCTTTGTGCTCAAGTATGTGCGTATATATAGCTCGTAAAAGAAACAGACACGGTTGAACGAACGACGAGCCATTGTAAATTCAAAGTTAACTGTTCAACGAGAAAGCTCATCTATAAACCAGGAAGCACACATTCACAAACATTCCCGCCTGTATTTTGTATTTCTTGAATAATACATGCGAACTTTGTTGGAAAATTACATCAAGAAAATAATCGAGTGGTGAAACCGACATTGCCGTGAAATGGGGACTGCACAATCTCGCCATCTTTAAAATTGATCTCATTCTGTTATTTCATTATCCATCACTTGTTTAAAGGTCTCGCTGGGGAAATGGCAAAAACAGGATTCGTCTGTAAATGGGCTGATAAATTATTCATACAGGAGGACGATGATAATTACACCTCGAGAGCAAACACTTCCTTTCCGAGCAGACAGCGGGCATGTTCAGCCGGGTTTGGGGAACTCGGGCACTGGCAAGTCTGATGCTCAGGATAAATGTGGGGATTTTAAATATGTACAGCACAGCATGATGTAATGAGCTGTGAGATATCTTTGTGAATAAACACAAGAGAAACTTGCATAAACATAATAAATTCGTCAGAATAAATCCATATTTAGACATTTTATACATGGTGTACATGTGCACATGTGCAGCCCATGCACATGAACCAGCATTCGTGAGAAACACTGGCTTAATTTCAGTGCATGACATATGATTAAAGCTAGTGTCTGATGAGTGAGTGATTCAGTCAGTGATTTAGGTTTAACGCCCCTTTCAACATTATTGGATCCTTGGTTCCACTGCCAGGTGGGGAAGAGATGATAGTACTTCAGGGGATGTAATACAATTCTTTTACTCCACGGCCGCTATTCAAATAGAGTTGTTGTTGTCTATTCCTCTTTTTCGTCCAAACTGTAAGAGATTATGTTTGAAAGACATTTGCATGAGGAGCAGTGCATATAAAAGAAACTCACAGATCATGAAACTAAAGTCAGATAATTCCACATTTATTCATTTTAAACGAAATAAACTCTTCAAAGAAATAAACGTATAGGCCAAACATAAGGAAATGTATTAAACGTATTTAAGCATACATAAATCGATTAAGTTTGAACATTGATGAAGGAAATTCGACACACGGATGAACATATGTGTTGTTGTCACTGTCAGCATTAATTCAGTTTACTCACTGCATATGTGTGGACACAAGGGGGCGTTCAGGTCAGTACCTGTGGCACCACCCCTTGCAGCCGTCACTGCTCGACACCGCCTAGGAAGGGTTTGCACAAGTCGTCGGATTTTTGCTTGGGGAATTCTTCGCCATTCCTCCTGCAACGCGGTGACAAGTTCTGCAAGTGTCTGAGGACGATGGTGACGTCGATTAAGTTCGTCTCATAGATGTTCGATCGGGTTCAGATTAGGCAATTTAAAAGGTCAGGGAAGGAAGGACATTGAATACTGCATTGGCGAGATAGGCACCTGTTACACGAGCTGTGTGGGGTCGAGCGTTGTCGAGTACAGCTCCCTCTGGCGGTTAAAAAGCGGGAGGACAAGAGGTCGCAGGATTTGGTCGATGTAGCGATTTGCAGTAAGATTCCCATGAACCACCACTAGCTCTGATCTACTCGTGTAGGACATGGCGCCCCACACCATGACCCTCTCTAAACCAAATCTGTCCACCTGTCGAACGCAGTTCGGCGCAAAACGTTCGTGTCGCCGTCGATAGACACGTTGTCTCCCATCCCGTCGTTGCAGGAAGAAACGCGATTCATTGCTGAACCAAACGCGTCTCCAGTTGCCCGTGTTCCATGCCTGTACCCATTGATCACTTATGACTGCTCTGTACACACGCTTATCCATTTCTGACCTTACAATAGGGGTACATGTGATTAGATGTCACGTGACTGGAAACTAGCGGCATGTGCATGTCAATGTGAATGATATAAACCATTCGTCAATATCATACAGTTATGTTTATCATGCACGCATCAGAAGTGTTTTTGGCTCAAACCTTTTTGATAGCCCCTCGTATGTCGATTCATTCATAGTGTCAAAGCTAAAGGAACTAGAGCCAGCGAAATAGGGGGCACTTCCTTTCAACAACAATTTTAAAGGATCATGGCCCCTGTGATCACGATGCTTTATGGTTCGGAATACATATCTGATTCACAGTCAATCTGCTTAGAATTACCTTGCAGATACGGGTTGAAGACGCTGGCAGAATTAACAAGGGTATGCGATAATGTTCTTTTCCACACACTCTCCGTACACGACAGGAAAGACATTAAACGAGAATTGTACAGCATATTTTATTGTCGCTTCATTAACTGACTGGCCCTTGGAGATATTCAATGAAACGTAAATAAAATATGTTAAATGTTAGCCGTGTTTGCAGTCGACCAGGGAACGTTGCCAACAAACAAAAGAAGCGTCAATAACATCTGGAAAATGTCTCTACTATCCGTGCTTAAATTGTTACAATCGTTCAATGCCGTCGGTTATTAACAATTTGAAGGTATATAAATTACTGTCAAAAAAGATAATAGAAGAAGTGAGAAAGCTATAAGCGAAAGTATATCTAAGGTAGAGCTGATCGTGCTTGAGTGATGGGAGTTTCTGGAAAACACGTTTATTGTGGCCGGACATCAATACATAAAGTTCCACCACAATATAAACGCGGTCTCAAGACGTTGGAAATGTGTTTAACAGGCAGTATTAATGTCTTTGCTAATACGACTTTCATTTCAAATGCAGTTTTATTCAGTAAGCCCTTTTCTGAGAAGTGACACAAACCGAAAGAACTTACAACGTAGTTTCTAAGTAAGCTACAGCCATGGTTGAATTAATACATGTAGGTTTCCAAAATTCTATGGACTATGTACAGCCTGAAATATCAGAGCAAATCTGTTTTAATGAAGCAAGCATGTGCATCTGGTAAATAAGTGCATTTTGCCACCCGAAACGGGGAGTAACTCAATAATAACCAAAGGCATTTGTATATTACGTCTAGTTGAAACGACAGTACTCAATTGGGCTGCAGTGTCGGACATAAATGTGGAATGTAATGGAGTTCCATATTAAGGTATCTGGTCTCTGTCGTGTTTAATCGAGGAAATTCGGCAAATGAATCGGATGGTCATGTTCTGTTTGTCATCCTACTTTTTCATTTCACACGCTGACCTTGAAATTTCTATTACAAATATGTGTCAGAGCATAGTACGATCTCGACAGTTATTCTGTGGCTGATTAATGTAAGGGAGATAATCAATTTCTCAAACTGGGTCCCTTACAACGATCAACGCATGCTAATGATGAAACCAGTTCAAATGCTTTCAAAGGGAGATAACAAGTTGTTTACTTCCGACTGTGTGACAGATGTGTTACAAACACTAGAGAATACTGCTACATATTCGGTCGATACTTAAATGTTCGGGTATTATTGACGTGTGATCACATAACTTTACAAATGGAACTTGGCCCAACTACAATGGACGGACCAGCAGGTCATGGTGAGGAAACAATTCACTGACATTTTGAGGATTTTAGCAGATGCGTGTACATTTGTAATGTTCCTACTTTGGTAAAGCTCTGACACAGTGTGAGTCGACATTGAACGATATGATAAATAATAGTGTATACCAGCGACTATCGGTATGCGGTTCTGCTATATGTCTATATTCACGACATTTTTAGAACACGAGGTGTCGATCAGATGGGGAAATATTTGAAACAAAAGCCTGAGAAAGTTGGGGGAGTGTATGTAGATTAACATATTTGGGTAATTTGTAACATTCCCCGTAAAGGTAAGAATAAAACGATTTGAAAGAACCCGAAATAATTAAGGAATCCTCATCTCTCTAATTTTCCCTTTAGGTGAAAGATGATGTACAAAGGTTGAGTGACTTTTGGGTACAGTTTTACTCTCCTTTTAACAGTATTCCATCAGTATCGCAGCCAGTGACAATAGGAATAGGCTTCACACCATTACCTGTGTTGGATATTGGTCTGCAAGATGAATACTCCTTTATTGCTAGGCTCCACCACAGCCCTACTTGAGCTTAGAAGGGATTATACATCGTAATGGGGCTGGATGTTTTTATCAAATATATGCCCTTGGGTTGTTCCTGGGATTCCACTTGACCTTCAGTTGCCACTGGATTTGTATATCCCTTCCTCGTCAGCTGATAGTAAAACAATGAACACATGAGCCTGAACAAGGTTGTATTATGATTAGTGTTGGGAATTAATTAAAATCTCATAATTGATGATTGGTCCATTACAACCAATCAATCATCGAAAATAATTGGCTAGCGTCATTTATCAAATGTTCCTATTATCTTTGTTAATGCACACAAAAAAATAAAGAAAAAACATGTAGTAATTTGGGTTGTTTTACAAATTGCACAAAATCAATTTGCAAATTTCGCATATTTAAAAGATGATTAGTATGTTAGGAACACAGAGTTCCTGGATTCTTTCAGATAAATTCAATCATGACTTGGAACGAGCTTGTAGTGCTTATGAAATGTAAATTAAATGACACAGACAAAACCAACCTTGTGAAACAAGTGTTCCAAGCTTGGTTGCATTTGATTATGAGAAAACATGTTCGATTGCTTGGTCGTTTAGTCACTGTGACCAATCTTCAATTATTTCAATTAATCGGAACACAACTAATTATGATATGACTCTGCTTGCATTGATGTGGATGGAAATCATTACAGCTTGAAATTGAATGACAGTAATATCAAAGCTAATGGATATCAACATTAAAAATTACTCAGAAGTAGAAGCTCTATAACAGGGTGCTGCAGCCTCCCCAGTGACATACATGATCAAAACCCCATTTCAACGTACATGTATCTTTCATTAATGTTTTAGCAAAATGCTTACTGGCAAAGGCATTTATTTAACTCTCATGTAGGCAGGAGAAGTCTCCAAATCCCCTGTTATTTCATGAGGCAGTTATGAATGGCATCAGTAATGCTAGGGTAAAAGCTTGTGCACATTCCTTAGCAATATTTTTGAACAAGTCCTGCAAATAATATTCCGATAGTCAACAAGAGACACTGAATGATGTCAACCATGCAATGCCTGATACGGTTCCCAATTGCACAGATCGATGCTCATGCTGTTGATCACTGGATTGTCTGGTCTAGACTCGTTTATTTACCAACCGACATATAGCTGGAATATTGCTGAGTGTGGCATAAAACTCAGCTCACTCACTCACTCAATACCTGATAATACAAGTGCTGCATGATTGAGATGATACCTTTGAGTATCCAAAGTTCATGACCTGAAGCATTAGGCAGCCATTGTCTTGTGAATGAAAAAGGCACTAATCAGGTAGTCAGATGTGGAATTGGCACAAGCTAGTGGCATGGGATGCCTCCTTAACTATGTTAACAACCCCAGCTACTTGCATGGGTCAAGTGTTTCCAAATCTGAAAATGAAACACAATTTCTAAAAAAAATATCTGTAAAATAATAACAATAATGTTTAATTCACAGCACCATATAAGCATGTTTATCCATTTGTTTTCTTTTGTATAAGCAATCTATATTTGTGCTTATTCTAAAGTTTACCATGTTTATTGCAGTTCTTTGCGGAGTATTGGGCAATGTTGGTCCAGAACAAAACCTGATCATAAAACTACAAGAACATCTTATAAAACCCTGTCTTCTGTTAAGATATTAATGAAAATATAGTGAAATATCTGTTGATAGTGTTGCCTGGTTTAACAGTTTCAGAAACAACAGCAACACAACATAAACATTCCTACAAATGTATGATGTCAAGCTTAATCATGTTAATTGGGATGACTGAAAGCAACGCTATAAGCATGATAAAACAATGCAAATAAGGAATAACGATCTCATTAGTATCTGGCTATGTAGTTGATGGAATAGTAACATGGATTTTATACATTAAAATGATATTGCAGACTAGCATAAAGTCTGCAGAATCCTTCACACAAAGGTCAGTTGAATCTTCCTTCACCCACTGTAATTGGGTCTTTTCTGTGATATTTCAACAACAGGTTGTTATCCAAACAACCTGCCATTTACACATATATTCATGGCAGAGGTACAGATAAGCTGGTATCTGCGTAAATTACGCAAATATTTATGTGAAAACTCAATTCCTATTAAGTCTATTGCGTACAAGTACGCTTGAAGTTTTGTAAATACTCAATAAATGTGATCTTACATGCATACACACAAAAATGTCAAATCTTAGCTTGTGTACCGGTGGATAGATAAAATAACTGAATTATATTGAGAGGTTCTATTTCAGGACATGAACTTGACAACTTGCAGTCTTTCTTTTCATTTCCCATATTACAGATCAAATGTAAATCACAAACACTAACATTTAAACTTTATTATATTTTTTAAATTAATGAAAAATGGCAAAATACCCAATTGAGTTTGAGTAAGGTGAGTACAATTAATTTTGTTACACAAAGGAAAATTAGAATACCCAATTGAGATGAAGACAAGGGAGTACATAACTCAATGACCCAAAAGTTATCTGTAGCTCTGTCATGCCCTTTATTAATCAAACATAAAGAAATCTGGCAGACCATCAGCAGTGATTAAAGTCGACTGTCCAAGACAAAATCTGCTTATCTTCTTCAGCATGTTATTAAGAACTCATTTGATCAAAGAACAACTCAATTATTAATTAACATGTCCAGCAGTTGATATTTTCTTGAAATGTTTTAACACAGTAGGTTAAACATTTATCCCTGGTTGAAGTAGTAGTATTGGAGTCTATCTCAACTCGACTATGGTGATATCAATATTTGATCAACATGATCAAGTATAACTATATGAAATGAATGACAGGAAAACTTTTGATGTAATGCATCAACATGGCAGCAAACAGTTTGTATATACATGTATTTAATTGTGTTTGCATTACAATATTTTCACCAAAATATTTATTCAATGTAATTACATTTGAAAGAATATGTCAGTGTTCACGAATAGCGTCTGACCCTCTGACAAATCCGGCAGATTCGCCAACGGTCAGACAGAAGTCTACAACCCGCCGGCCCCAGTGTCTGACTGTATATTTCACAATGACTTTGACTGAAGTTGTTTAATGTGACATGTGACACTTGTTTGCTGTTTATAAATCTTATGTTTGTTAATAATTTCAATGTCAATTATAAGAAATATTAAATCTGAAATGTGTGTATATTTTTATTCCATGGGTCCTGTGCATTTTAAAGGGTCAGACAGACATCTGAAACTTACAGGACCCTATGTCCTTTGACTTTGAAACACCATTCGTGAACACTGATATGTACAATATTGGTTTCAGTTCATTTCATGTTTTAATATCAAACCGTTTTGTCTACTTTTTTGCAATTACAATCAGAGACCATATAATAGATTATATTATTATATGGTCTCTGTTACAACATACATAATGTACCTCCCTTACACACTGAAGTTGATAAACAATGTCTTTCACAGTAAATGATAGCAGTAGCCTGTTGAGGTAAGAACTGATTCAAGTCATGTTTAGCTAGAGATGAAGTGGGACATTGGCAGTTCAAACTAAATCTGATGAACTGATACAGTTTTAAGAACTGCTTGACCAAATGCTTTGCGACAACGTGAAGAGCGTTATTGTGAGGGATGACTGTATTCAGGAACTATTGCAAATAGAAAAATAATTATTATTCAGAATGTTATATGAAACCAGACACATTTATAAGAAAAAAATCAATTTGTTTGTGTGCATTATTCATTCACAAGTTCTACATATATATGTTTCACAATTGTCTAGCCTCTGTGTGCAGTTATCTCCCTTAGATACTGAATAAAAGGGACGGTGGGGTAGTCTAGTGGTTAAAGTGTTGGCTCGTCACGCCGAAGACCCGGGTTCGAATCCCCACATTGGTACAATGAGTGAAGCCCATTTCTGGTGTCCCCGGCCGTGAAATTGCTGGAATATTGCTAAAAGCGGCGTAAAACCAAACTCGTCAGTCAGCTGAATAAAAGAGCTATGTTGGAACCCTGAGGAATAGGCACAGTTTCCCTTTCCTTATTGCAGCAAATCTTCAAATACATTTTATGAAATTATAGGTTTAGTTACTATTAATCTAAACTACTAACAACATTACAGGAATGTGTAAAATACACATACCAAAAATGACTGACTGACTGAGTTTGGTTTTACGCCGCTTTTAGCAATATTCCAGCAACATCACGGCGGGGGACACAAGAAATGGGCTTCACACATTGTACCCATGTGGGGATTCGAACCCGGGTCTTCGGCGTGACGAGCCAACGCTTTAACCATTAGGCTACCCCACCGTCCCTCAAAAATGAATTCAGACAGAGATAAAATATTGAAATGCATTGATATCCTATATAATTGCATTTATTCCCATGTCCCAACAGACTTGGAACAGAACTGTTACAAATAGGCGCCAGCAGCATGACCAAAGTGGAATTATTTTGAAACTTTTATTCAGAATCAAGCCTC